TATCCACGGTTGTCTGAAATTCAAACAGATAATGAAACTTGAATCCATTACTTTATCACCCTCAAAACATTTTTACAATAAGAAGCACTTGACTAAAACAGCAAAGGTCGTAAGAGAGCAAAGAACTACAAGAGGACAAAGACAGTTTTATATGCCATTTTTTAAAAATATTAGTGGCCTTTTGCTTCTTTTCGAGCACCAAGGACATTATTTATGGAACAGCCCTCGTATTATATCTCTTCACAGAATTATAGGTTTATTATTTTTTTATCAGATAAAGGAAATAAGAGCTTTAATTTTTCTATGACATTTTTATTCATAAAAAATGAATGGATGTTTTATCTACTTTTGTGTTATGTTGTACAGTATGTACAGCATCATCTGCTGCTGAATCTTTTTATCTATTTTTTTCTCACAAAAAAAGAGTGTGGTATACTTTGAATGTTATAAAATTATTTTCGGAAAACGACTTTGCATAAAATAAGAAGAAAACACAGAAATCAAGCTCAAAAGTCCATAGGGACTATATTGAGCAGATCGAACCTCGATAAACATCAGAGAAGAGACTAGATGCCATGAAGGAGTACTTTTAGGACAGGTCACGCTCTTCGCATGCACCTTGTTATTAGCTAGTACGTAAATGGAAAAACATCTCTAAACAATTCGTGTTAAATTATAGTACAAACAGTTTATGAGAAAAACGTAAATAGACTTTTGACATTCGGATAATCAGGTTATTTACTCGAAAAATGTGTCCAACTTTATTATGTTGTGTATTGAACCACGTGACCTATCAGAATTCGTTTTATTGTTAACCAGGTTATGTAATGAAATTGCAAAATAATAAATATACAGCGATGTACTATGAGAAAAACGCGTCTAAAAACATCTGCCAAACATTTTCTAATTTCAAAAAAGTACAATAAGGATAAAACACCGAAAACATACAATTATCTAAATAAAAAGGCATTTTTATAACAACAGTTTTCACTTTTCGGCATTTTTGTCCTTCTATTTTCTTATGGTGTATAAATTTCGAGTTACAAGATTTTTTGATCGATTGCATGTTGTTATACATCCCATTCGAGATTTTTCTTCTCATGTGGAGACGTCGCCATTCACTGATGGAGGACTATGAAATAAGACATTTAATCGGCACTCAATGCATTTGAGCAGTGATGGATCTTTTATCATGCCAACGCCTGTCGTGATTCAGGGCCTATGATTTCATGGTGTCATCCGAAGGACCCATAACTTTTACTTTGAAGTGCCGAACTATTTTGCAAAGGAACAGTTGTTATCTAATGGTTATCGAGTTAGGTCAGTTGCGGTCTTGGCTTGAACCCACGACCTTTCGATCACGGAGCTAGTGCTCTACCAACTGAGCTACAATGACGACCAGGTTTATCGAATCAACATGGGCCGAATAATCTAACATTAAGTTCAAAGTAACCGCAATTTTTTAAACTAATTGTTAGGCATTTGATTTACGTACGGAATTGTCCTCTGACTATTCTGTTTTTCACGATTATGACAAGGAGCACACAGTGGATTGGCAAAGGATGGCTATTTCTCCATGACACCTGATCCAACTGATGATGTTTTAGAGGTCCATGTCTAATGTACAGTGTACTTCTGATTTGTATTTGAATGGACTTACATACTGTTCGTTATTTCCATATTTCATTAATACTGTTTTTATAACATGTCGTAGAAATATCATAATGGCGTATTGAAAGCCACGGCAAACTTGTTTTAAGACCGCGGAACATTAACTGGCAAGATTGGAAAAATACAGCTTACAGGAAATAAATAAGAAAGTTGTCAAAAATTTGGATTGCACACAAAACTAACTAGCTCATGTCATCCTAAAAATTAATTGATACATGTACAAAGCATGATCAGACTCGACAATTTTTGATCCCCCACCTAGCTCCTTCTAGAGTCAAATTGCCGTCTCCTGAGAAAAATGACTTTTGTGACTTTTTACCAGTGTCCTTAACATGTATTTGGCAATTGAAATTGAAATCATGTGTCTTATGGATCATACATTCACACTTTGCTTTTGAATACAGCTTAGGTGGATTTAAAATGAATTTCAGACTAGAATTTCAACCCAATGCTTTATCGGCCGTGCGCGTCAAATTGTACCCGCTTATTTCATTGTCTATCTTTGAATGTTTTGATTGTAAGAGATAGAAATGATAAGCTGTATATTTCCAATCTTGCCAGTTAATGTTCCGCGGGATACGTTTACATTGCTATTCCAACAGATTGTTAAACGATTGTTAAAAGACATGGACTTCACAACTTCATAGATATTGTCAATCAAATCTCAGGCATCTTTTTAATATCAACTTTAATATACATGTACTTAAAGCTAACAAGATTCAAATAAGGAAAATGTCCGCCATATTCGACATTAGTAATTTCGTGAATTCTATTTTTATTTAAAAACAATTTAATCAGTGTTTTTCATCATTTCAAATTTAATTGTGGCACAAAAATTGGGTGAAGTAATTTATATTCCTGGTCTTTTTGCGACCAAATTCGCAAAGAAACCTCGACATAAATTGAACAACAAACTGTACCTATGAATCAATATACACTGTAAAGTTCAAATTCTGGTAGGTCACATAAGACACACGATTTTTTGTGCTAGTGTTATATTACGTGTATGGTTAACAGAAGAATTATTTAAGCATGAACTAATAGATACTTAAAATTTCCATTGTAATTATCGTGTAGTGTGAAATATAGCTTCAAGAGTGTCCAGTGAGGACTAGAAGATAATTGAGTGTGCAAGCCAAATAATGTGCCTTAATTAGAGTGCATTAATAGTTTAGCATTAGAAACAGACAAGGGTAAATGTTGAGGTTTATCTAATTAATAAATTTGTATATTTATTGTACGGACAATGACAATCTTACTGTGGCGCTGATCATGCTAATGTTTTTACTCTTGCGGAACTATGGCACTGGTTTATCAAATGTGGCGCTAAGGAATTTGTGGCGGGGCTGCAAGAAAAACCCTGATTTAGCCTTATCTAAAACAAAAATCCTAGTCTTTCATATATTGTGGGGAATGGTGAATTAAATATTAAAACTCGTAAGTGTAGATGCCGTTGATTTTAGTAAAGGAGATGGGTGAACATGACGAGAGATAAGCCCATAGCGCGACAAACATGAAGGTGAAAAATTAAATCTCAATTATATCAAAATTTTCCTTAATATTTCATCTAACATTAAAGTATACTTTATGTAAAGTCTCTACAACTTGCACAAATCTCATGAAAATTGAAGTTATTTGCCTATGAAATGCACACGAAAGAGGACAAAACGAGTAATTTTTTCACACTATAACACTATTTTTCGTTATGAGTGGGTCTTCTCTAAATTTTTTTGAAAGGTAATCCTCAAAGTTTGCATGAAAACATACATATTTTGGTTTCCAAAATTATGGAGCAATGACCCACTGTACCTTAAAAATATAAGTTTATGACATAACTTTCGTATCTTTTCAAGACATACTTGAAGACTCTTAAGTCAATGGTCATATCACAAACATGATTTAAAAGCCACAATTCTGCAGGACTTGTGTAGCGTAGTGGTTAGCGTGCTAGTCTCAATAGAGAATGCAACTCAGGATTTTTTTTGCCAGAGTTCGAACCCAGTGGATACCACATTATTTTTCTTTATAAAAGAATAAATTTTAATGAAAAATTTTCCTCAAAACTTTTATTTCATCATGATTTTACAAAAAGCAATGATGAGAACTTTACTCTAAATACTAAAATCACAATTTGAATATGATTTTTATATATCTGAAGCTTGTGGGGTTTTTGCACGCTAAGTTCACCCATCTCCTTTGGTAAAATGTTTTGAATCATTTTTTAAGTGTCATTAGGGTTCAAAAAATATTTTTCATTTAAAAATTTAGAAAAGAAAGTTAATAAATGTAAAAAAAAAAAAAAACAATACAATTAACTAGTTTTGAGCAACGAATAATGAGGAATTTTACTGTTATATGTTGGACTTAGGTAAACTTTGTGGATTTGGTTTTTAGGAGATTCTACTAATCATGACTAATGGCAATCAATTTTCAGAACATACTGTTTGTTCAATAGGTTAATGTGCATGAAATATTTAGTTTAAACTTGGAAACGAAACACCTTTATTGATTTTTAAGCTTCTAAAATGTGCTTCTATGCTTACTGATCTCTACCTAAATTCACCAAATTTCAGATTATACTGATAATATTCATTTTATAAATAGATGAAGTTTGAATTGAGATTTTAAAGTTTCTGGGAATATTGGTTGGCAAAAGATAAACAAACAGCAATTAAACATAAAAAAAAAATCATGATCAGCACACGTAAAACAATGAATCAAGTCAAAGGGTGACAGATCTGGCGAATGTTATTATGTGACAAAATATTAACTTTCCGTTTGTCCCCAAAACTCCTTTACTCCTCATGGCGTGTGGGTTTAGACGCTGCCATAAAGAAATTTAATAGAGTGCATTCCTGGTTCTAGTTCCTTTGTCTCAAAAACCTATTGATTCTTTGGAAAACATTTGCTTTCTAGTCTCCTACAGAAATTGAACTGCCTTCCCGAATAAGAATTTGAACAACAAGACCACTAACATTTAAGAAATGGAATATAAAACTGTCTTTGTCCTCTAGTAATTCTTTGCTCTTTTATAACCTTTGCTGTTTTTGTCAAGTGCATCTTATTGTAAAAATGTTTTGAGGGTTTTTTAAAGTCAATCAAACATCATAAGTGATAATTTGTTGAATTTGACAAGCAGAATTTTGTTTGTTTTACGTCCTTGTAGCCAAGGTCGGTACCCATTTTTGATGCCCAATATATCATTATTTTTATTGAAATACACTTGATCATGTGTCTATAAAACAGGCATTGGTTGCTGTAAATTTCACAAATTTCAGTAAATCTGTCTTTGGGTTCCTTATCAAGTTTTCAGCTTAAATTGAGCGTTTTATTTCACTCTAGTTTACTGATTCATTACTATTCATTTTTAATGCAGTGTCTCGAATAGCCCTTTTTACAGCTTCTCAAAATGAAAATATGAGATGAAAAGTCAGGTCACATAATATGATATCAATTCATTAAATATTCAATCATGAGAGAAAGTAAAGCTTATTGCCATATGATATCTGTGTCGTATGTCATACAGTCGCCCCAGGGTCATGAAACGGACTTAGACTTAAGTAAAATTTTCAATCACCTGTAAAATGTTTATAAATTATTGAATTAATCTCTAAATTTGCAGATAACACCTCTTTTGGAAAACAATGTGGATAAATATATTGATTTAAGGGTGGTTGAGTTCTACAACTTTTAAAAAAAATATAACGATTTTGACTTAAGCTGAAGATGTTTCATGATCCCGGGCCCTGGCATTATTTTGAACAGCCATCGTATACAGAGGAAAGTGCAAAAAATCTAATTCTTTATATGACACGAATATTGCACTCGATCTCACTTTATCATTCAATAATTGTATCCATTACTAATACACTCGATCTCACTTTATCATTCAATAATTGTATCCATTACTAATACAAGGATGATTTCTATTGACATAATACTGATCAAAACAGAGGGAATCAAACGAACTTTAAACCCGGTTCAATGTCAGACATACACTGTATAAAGTTTTGATAAAACACTCACGTACGTGGAGATACCAAACAATTCTTACGCTCAAAGGTCCATTTAAACAATATAAATCAGGATAAGAGCAAACATGAACCTCTTCAACATCATGCTGGATCATGTGCCATGGAGGAGTGAGCATCCCCTACCAACCGGTCACAACCGCCGTTATGCAATTAGAAAAAATACAAAATATTCTCGCTTTAATTATGAAAAATCCACAAATATACACGTTTCAATTATGACAGTTGGTCTACTAGACATAAATTTTTCTTGGTACATGTATAATTGTATAAAAAAAATATTTAATTAATTTAGAAAAGATTCAACTCTTAGAAATATAATCCATTACAAAATGAAATGAATTTAATTAAAGAGGCTGAGTCTAATTATTTCTTCCCTAGGGATTTTGATAATTTTTTGTTAAGTAATTTTTACTTTTATATTTATTGTTTTGAGACTAAAAAAACCGAAGATTTACCATCCCAATTTCTTAGAGGGCCATCTCAAAAGTTGTCAAATTTCACTATTGGATCCTATGGGAATTTGTTGGGAAAGCACCAAATTATTACTAGTAACAATATTTCCATATTTTTTGTATTTCTGACCTAGAGATTTCTTTTTCAGTCAAGTAGATGTAAGTTTTTGCAAAAAGTCACCAAATTGTAAAATTTCAAGAAAGTTGACCATCTAGGTTGGTCTATGTCTTGATTAAAAAGTTTCTTTTTCGGTGCCCAATACCTCTAAAATTGCTATATTGCGGAATAAATACATATCGGTGCAGATGAATTGTCGGCACAGATAATATTTTTCGTAAAAAATAACAATATTAGATTGCTAGTATGTTTTTTTATGGTCTATCATCAGTTTTTAGTATGATATCCATGGACGTCTATGAACGAGTCTTGTGTCATTCTTCAGCGTCAAACAATGCTTACAAAATCGGACAACAGTGACGTCGTTGGAGCCACTTTAACGTGTTTTCCTAATAATTGTTGTAAAATAACATTTTCAGACCAGTAAGCGTTACAGATAATGTTAATTTAATATTAAAAGCACAATATTTGGGGAAAGTGTACTGTCGCCTTTATGACTGCAAGAAATTAAAAGGCTGCGCAAAGTCAAATTAGACTCGGCCTCGTTAACTATCATCTAATTCGTATTTCAATCGCTATTGTACATACAAAATGTAACATTTACTGTGATATCGTTTTGATAACACCACCAGTAAAACATGTAGAAGATGTATGACTACTATATATCAATAAACTTTCTTTTCTTTTGTAGTTACTATTCAACAGGTAAGCAATTCCTTTTCTTCATTTTTGGCTATTCATAGTCTATTTTTATGTATGTCTTTTTGTTGGTATGTCATTCAAAAAAGTTTTTACACATATAACATGTGTCTTTACATCTCTCTCTCTCTCTCTCTCTCTCTCTCTCTCTCTCTCTCTCTCTCTCTCTCTCTCTCTCTCTCTCTCTCTCTCTCTCTCTCGATGAACAAAATTATCCAAGATCTTTGAACTTGCAAGTTGTAAACTTGTATCTATCAACTGTGTTTTAATTATTTTTTATCATTTTGATTTTCAATAAAAATCATTCATTTTAAATTTTCATCCCTTTAAAGTTTTGTTCAAACTTTTTTTTTAATTTGAACTCCGCATTGTCATTATTTGAAAAATTATAAATCAATTATTGTAGAGGATAATAGATTTAAAATTTACATTTTTATGCTACCTTTACTGATAATCAGAATATCTTAAACGACTTTAAACACACAATTGTTCCATATTTACAACGTCTTCAAAGATCTCGTATGTATTAGATTACAGAAACATCAATAGTGCTACATAAGGCTTTTATGCAGTGTTGTTGATACTACTGGCATACGCTTCTGCCAAAAACATAAAAACTCAACAATTTCTAACAGGTTATATAAATTTTATAGAGGTAACGACCAGTATAAAGCTGAAAAGTCCATTATACAATACAAATTTTGAAGCAAAGCAAACACAGAAATCTAAAACATCAGAGGTGGGATCATGTGTCATGGAGGAGTGGGCATCCACTGGTCACACCCGCCGTGTTTTCCATGAAATGATGGGGAGAGAACGGATAAATCTGTTTTCAATTCAATGTGTAAATAATGGCCTATGTAATAAGTGTGAAAGACGTCAGCTAATATTTAACTTTAAGATAGATTGTACTTCCTGAAAGGGCCATAGATTATATCGTATCGACCATAGAATTTACGAAATTATGACTTTAATCGAGACTGTTGATATTCTTGTTTCATCAACTTAATTGTCAATAACTTACCTCGTTTTAGAAATTGTTCATACGTACATGTAGAGCATGCTCTTGTGTATCGCACCAACTGAGAGATACCGGTATAAACCCAGTATACCGGTGATGAAGGTATATTGCTACATAAGTAAGGGAAGATTATGATTCAAAAGTTAAAGTTACCTTTTTTATCATAAAGCTTGGTTGTTAGATTACCTGAACTATTAACTTCTTTTTCTAGCAAAATATTCAGATATGAAAAATTTCATTACTAGTATTTAATATATGTACGTTAACTTACAACAATATTATAGCTTCTATGCAATTAATCTTTTACAAAGAGGCTGATGTCCTATTGATTTTATTGGTGCAGGTTGATGCATTGAAAACGGTGTCAAAAATTAGCCCAAAATTTTGCAAAGACACGAAAGGAATGACTTGCATTTTACCAGCAATATGCACAGATTTCTGTCATGGTTCACACAACTGTCTTGAATGCAAAGTGGATGAAGGTCAGATAATCGTAAGTATTCTTCAATACGCATTAATATTTCTTCATTTCTTTATTTCTGTAACACTTCTTTTCGAAATGAGAAATCATTTTAATTTAAACACAACTTAATGTTGTGTTTAATTCAATACATAATTTTATAGAGATAAAGACCAATATAAAGCTCAAAAATAACGATTACTATCAAGTTTGGTTCTTCAAACCATAGACCTAAAGTGGAGGTCCACTTTAGGTCTATGTTCCAACCTATAAATTAAACTTAATATAGGTAGAGTCCATGCATGTAAATATTACTGTTGCTTTTCTTATACTTTCACGTTTCCAATGAAGTATGGAGATAACGAACAATATAATCAAAGTTAGATGTCTATTTAACAAAACACAAATTTGGATCACAGTAAATACGGGTTCCATCAGAGGTGGGAGCTGTTGCCATTGAAAGAATTGAAAGTATACATACATGTAATAATATTTGCATATTTTATTATTAAATGGATGTTACTTTATGACCTGCGACAAGCTTATGATCTTGGTGGTCGAGTGAAGGGTAATTGTGATTGTTAGACATAAAAAATGATATCTCATGTAGCGAACAAAAAGTGCGTTCAATAGTATTCTATTCCCGCCTACCTCCAAGTCAGTTTTCAAAATTTAACATATTCGAATGACTTTTAACATCTTTGTAGACATTCATATGGATTTTCATAAAACATTTCTTATTAGGGAAAACAAAGAGAGATGAGTATAATTTTGGTAAAACTTGTGTTATTCAGAATAGAATTCAATGGAAATGGAAAAAAATTTTAAAACACCCCCCCCCCCGGAAAGAAAACTTCCTTGTTTCAGGTAACATGGGCTGTCATTTTACAAATTTATGCCAAAGTTTTTGTGTTTCGGGGGGGGGGGGGGATGAAGGGGGCATATGTTTATAGACAAAAAAAACTTTAAAATGCTTATTTTTCACCAACTTCAAAGCGATCCACAACTAAATAATTGTATTTTATTAATTTATACATGTATATGTTTTATTTCTTTGTGTAAAACATAAGATAAGATACATGTATAAGATACATTTTATCATATTTAAGACTATTTCAAAATATGTTGATGCTTGAAACTTCGATTTCAATAAAAATATCGTCCACCCCTCTCTTTTCAAGAGCTGGAATCAATTATCATTTACTTTCTAGCGCTGGAATTAAAATGATCAATCAAATACCATTGAACTGTTCTTTGTATTAGACTTTATAGCCAATTTGTCATTAATATTGAATTTAATGGGTGCAAAATGTAGGCGGGAATCAAGAGTTAGAGTTCACAGTTCTTTAACATATTTCTTTGATATTCTTTGATGTTACTGCATTTTTCTTAGAAAATAAATATTCATCAGAATCTTTGCATAACTGTTTCCATAACTTTCAGGCTTATAATTAAAAATTTTAAATGAAGAAAAACAATCGTTGCAGGTATCAGGACAAACTCTAGCAATACAACCCGCTGCCAACTGCTCCGATTCAAAAATGAATTGTTTCCATGACACACGTCTGCATAGGGGAATATTGAGTTGGAAGAAAGACAGGATATTGGATACGTGTAGCAAACCCATACGTATAGAACAGGTTAAATCTCATTCCTCTATTTGTCTGTCAGTCTGTCATTCTGTCCGTTCGTCAAAAAACTTTACCCTTGGTCATATCTTTTGAATAAGAAGAGATAGGGCTTTCATATTATGCATGTACATGTATATTATCTGTGACAAAAACTTTCTCAATACATTATGATTTTTGACCCCTTGACCTTGAAGTTTGACCTACTTTTAAAAAGTTGAAAGATAACTTTGAATTTGCCATAACTTTTGAATGATAGGAGATATATCTTTCATATTTTACGTGTGAATTACCTGTGACAAAACCTTCCTAAATACACTATGATGTTTTAACTCGTGACCTTTACACTGTACCTTGACTTTACTTAAATTAGCCATAACTTTTAAATGATAAAGCTTTCAAATTAAAGCTCTGGATTATCTGTGTCAAGACCTTTCTAAATGTACTATGTTTTTACCCCATGACCTTAACATGCTTAAAGTTTGTTCTTTTTCAAAAACTTTAACCTTGGTCATAACTTTTGAATGAGAGAGATAGGGCTTTCATATAAAACATGGGCATGGGTATTGCTATGACATGACCCTTCTAAATACATTTCATAAATATTATGGATTCTGTTGAAAATTACGCCAGACGATGGATCAGATATGAAAAAGAAGACGTTGACCTTGTCAGAATGGATTAAATGTATCAAATCCATGTTAAAGTCGCGTATTAAAAGATTGAGGTTCAATATGAAAACCAACTATCCTTCTGTGTTCAATAATTTAGAAGTGAAAAAAGAATTAGATAGATTACATGATCAGTACGTACTGGTTCCTGTCAACAAAGCAGGTAACAATATTGTCTTCGTTTGTAAGGCTCATTATATGAATAGTATTTTAGAAGAACTTGGATTTAATTGTACAAGTGGTAATCCTACTTATACTCATACTTCCCTTTCTAAGGAAGAAATTCTTCAAAATCTTTAAAAAAAATTTATATCTTTAAATCTTTTTAATATTCCACAGAGCCAAAATGAATTTGAACTACCCTATATGTATATTGCATTCCGAAACTTCATAAAAATCCTTACAAAGATACATTGCGGGTTCCAATAAAAGTTCAACCAAGCCTCTTTCGTTACTCCTCATTAAGAAATTGACAGTACTGAAGAAAAAAACTTCAAGAGTACTGTGCAACAATATATTGAAGAAGTGGTGTGAATCAGATGTGGATACTCAAAAATTCCAAAGAACCTTTGGACAATTTGAAATCGCAAGATTTTACCAAAATCAACAGCTTAAAAACTTCCGACTTTTCAGCTTTATACACAACCATTCCCAAAGATAAATTAAAGTTCAGGCTTTTTTATATCATTGACAACTGCTTTTTCTATAAGAATGGAACTCGTAAATTTACTTACATGTACCTTGTCATTGATCATTTGCAAAATTATTTTGTTAAAACACATTCTGATTGCACACACAAGCTAGTACTCTGAAGTTGACATCAAAAAGATGCTTGAGTTTCTGATTGACAATATCTATTTGGATTTGGAGACCAGGTATTCCAACAATGTATTGGAATTCCCATGGGTACCAATTGCGATCTGTTATTAGCAGATGAAATTTCATATTCATATGAAGCAGAATTTGTACAAAATTTTACGCGTAAAAAGAAGAAAACACTTGCTGTGGCCTTCAACTTGATATTTAGATATATAGACGACGTATTGTCAATTAACAATGGTAATTTCCATTCCTACGTCGATACATGTACGATATATCCTGGTGAGCTTGAGATAAAAGTTACCATAGAGTCTGACACAACTGTTTCATACTTGGATATTTTACTTGAAAAAGACGTTCATGGTAATGTAACAACCAAGCTTTATGATAAACATGATGACTTTAACTTTTCTGTCAACTTTCCTTACTTATGCAGCAATAGACCTTCATGACTTGCATACGGAGTATATATGTCTCTGTTGGTTCGATACGCAGGGAAATGTTATACGTATGAACAATTTCTAAAACGAGGTAAATTATTGACAAGCAAGTTGATGAAACAAGAATATCAGCAGTCTCGTTTAAAGTCATCATTTCGTAAGTTCTATGGTCGGTTCAATGACCTTGTACGCAAATATACAATTTGTCATTGAGTCAAATGCTGACTGACGTTTTTCATACTAATTGTTAGTCTATTATTTATAAAATGAATTCACGACGGATTTTTTCGTTCTTTCCCTATCATGACTAGGAGCACACGGCGGGTGTGACCGGTCAGCAGGGGATGCTCACTCCTCCATGGCACCTAATCCCACCTCTGATGTTTTGGAGGTCCGTGTTTGCTCTGCTCCTATTTTGTATTGTTTTATGGAATTTGAGATTGAAAACTATTCGTTATCTCCATATCGTTCATTCCTTTAAAAAATCCCGAATGTGTTCAATGGGATTCAGACCCGAGAATTTGACAGTCCATCATCACAGAGGTCTTTTGATCAATATTCTTGTGTGTTTAGCACGTAAGTGCATCGTTTTAAGGATTTCCAAACCGTGAGTTTTTTATTCATTACAAAAACAAGCCAGAAAATAATTAAAGCCCTGAGGCTAACTCTGGACCTCTCTGGAAAAGAATAATTTAAAAATCAATACACTTAACTACAGGTTAAATGAATAATTATGCAATTCAGCTATAGAAGTGTGCTGCAAATAAAATCATACATTATTAAATTAAAAGGTATATGCACATGCAATATGCATTACTATGCACATGTGCATAATATATAAAAACATGAGTCTGTCACACTTACTATCTCCAATATTTAAAAGTCTCCGTGGGCTTTGTCCCATCCTATGGCCCTCTAGAGGACTTTGCACTGGATCTAGCTTAAGGTGTCCCATTCTCGTACATCACATGTCTTTAAAAAGGCATGCCCCCCAACCAATAGTATGAGTTTCACACTAACTAAACCGATAAAGTTGATTTGGTCTTATTTTTTCCATTTATTGTCCGCCTGTCTGTCCGCTGTATATCTTGAACTACTTTTTAAAGATATATAGATATTTAACTTAATTTACTGTATACAAAAATATTTATAATATATATTTTCAGGGGCATTATCAAGTGTACAGTAGTAGAGGTAACAAAATAACTTTTTCAGAAGACACTATATGTGAAGGAATTCAAGAGTGTCCCGACAAAGCGTACAATTCTAGTGAACTTGGTATGTACTCGTAAATCTTAAATCATTCAAAACATTGTTTTTCAAGCACAAAGCATTAAGATTTTCCGTTAAAAATTTGAATATCCCCCAAAGTCTCCCCCCTCAAAAAAAATATAATTGTTACTATGTACATGAAACACTCCATGCCTTATAGAAACTTTTTTTTCTAAATGGTTATTATTGTTTCTTGCATTTCTAGCAGTGGTAAAACCTATTAATTTAATTTTATCTCTTCCTATTTACATGTTTAAAAGAACTGAACTGTTTATTAACAACAATCCTTTATCTAATTTTTAAAAATTAAACGACAGTTTAAAATGTATTATTAAGCTTTTTAAGTTAGAAGATCTTCTTGGAATTTTCAGAAATGAATTATACACTTTTTGTGAAGGGAATTCCAGTCTGGAAAAGGGACTGTAAGAGGTATGGAATAAGATGTTTATATAATAAATGTTATTTTGAAGAAATGCAATTAATTTCATTCACGATTTCGTAAAAATCTGCATATGACAATAATGTTCAGTGTTTTATCCTTTTCTTGCCATGTACTTATAACTTTAAACTTATGAAAGATATTTTTATAAGAAATGAAAACTAATATAATTAATTTAGGTTTACTCTGTTTCTAGGTAGCTTCGCTTTTGAAAAAAATGATATATTTATTTTCATTTAACATGTTTAATATATGGTTGTATTATAACTTATATGCACTGGTATCGTAATACAAAAAACAAACAAAAATCGTTGATTACTGTGAAATCAAAAATTTCCATGAGGGTTTTGTTTTCGTTGTTTTCGAGGCATGGAAAGACCAACGAATTCATGACCACAGCCAAATGCAAAATTTTATACGCATTGCTACTCTACACTGTCTTATACAAGCACGAAATCAAATCCCCATAAATCTATAAAAAAAAAAAAATCTCACACCTCTCGAAAATTTGTTTCCACTAAAAAATATTATTTTACAGTAAGGTACAATGTAACTAACGTTGTTTTCAGTCCCTTCAAAGGAGAGGGGTGAACTTAGCGTGCAGAAAGCCCAATAGCTTCAGATACATAAAAATCATATTCATATTGTGAATTTAGTGTTTAGTAAAGTTCTCATCATATATTTTTATGAAATCATGAGAAACAAAAAGTTTTGGGGAAAATTTTTCGTTAAAATTTATTCTTTTGTATTAAAAAAAAATAATAAGGTATCCATTAATAATAATAATAATAATATAATATAATAATATAATAATAATAATAATAATAATGATAATTGAGTTCGAAGTCTGGCAATAAAAATCCTGAGTTGTATTCTCTTTTGAGACCAGCACGCTAACCAATACGCTACACAAGTCCTGATGAAGTGTGGCATTTAAATCATGTTTGTGATATGACCATTGACTTAAGGGACTTCGAGTATTTCTCGAAAAGATGCGAAAGTTATGCCATAAAATTATATTTTTAAGGTATAGTGAGTGGGTCTTTGCTCCATAATTTTTGGAAACCAAAATATGTATGTTTTTATGCAAACTTTGAGGATTATCTTTCAAAAAAATGGAGAGAAGACCCACTCATAACGAAAAATAGTGTTATAGTGTGAAAAAAATGACTCGTTTTGTCCTCTTTCGTGTGCGTATATTTCATAGGCAAATAACTTCAATCTTCGTAAGATTTATGCAAGTTGTAGAGATTTTACATAAAGTATACTTTAATATTAGATGAAATATTGAGGAAAATTTTGATATAATTGAGATTTAGTTTTTCACCTTCATGTTTGTCGCACTATGGGCTTATCTCTCGTCATGTTCACCCATCTCTTTTGAGATAACCCGGTTTGACTGTATAAATTGATTTATTATATATAATTCAATAGATTAGATTTATATGTAATGTTTTTAATTTTGAGCCACTTTTAATTTTCTTTTTTTTTTCTCTCTCTCTTTTTCAGTCCGGTCAACAACTGTGGAAGAAATCTTGGTCATGCATCAAAGGACACACAACTCTTCTTTTTAGTCTTTTCCTTTTTTAAGTTTATATTTTAATAAAAATCAACTATCCTTCTGTGTTCAGTAATTCAAAAGTGAAATAAGAAAATGATAAATTACATGGTCGGTATGCACTGGTACCTAATGACAAAGCAGGTTACAACATTGTCTTTGTTTGTAAGGCTCGGAATTGTACCTTGGAGGAACTGGGATTTAATTCTACTTGTGATAGCCCAACTTATACCCATAGCTCCCTTTCGAAAATGGATATTCTTCAAAGTCAGTTTTAATTTTTTTTTCATATTTGTTACAGCCAGAATGAATTTGATTTACCATATGCATATCTATATTTGATTCTAAAACGTAAAATATCATAAAAATCCCTTTTAAATATGCAAGATACCTAGCGGGTTCTTGTAAATGTTCTACCAAACCTCTTTCTTTACTCCTCACTAAAATATTAACAGTAGCGAAGGAGAAACTTCAGATGAACTGTACAATAATATATTTGAGAAGTGGTATAAATTGTATGTGGATACTACACAGCACTTAAAAATTCGAAGGAATTTTTGGAAACTGAAATCAAAAAATTATAAACAAAATCAACAGCATTAAAACTTATGACTTCAACTTTATATACAGCCATTCCCCATGATAAATTCAAGTCCAGGCTCTTTGATATCATTGACAGCTGCTTTTTCAATAAAAATGGAACTTGTTCATTTAATGAACTTGTCAATAGTCATTTGCAAAATAATTGTGTTAAAAAACATCCTGATTATACAAACAAGTACTCTAAAATTGATTTTAAAAAGATGCTTGAGTTTGTGATTTACAATATCTATGTGGTTATGAAAATCAGGTCATCCAATAATCTACTGGAATTCCAATGGGTATCATTTATGCAGCGATACTAACAGACAAATTTTTGTATTCATATGAAGTAGAATTTGTCCAAAATCTTACATGTAAAAGGAAGAAAACACTTGCTGTGGCCTTCCACTCGAAATTCAGATCTAGATATATCGATGACATTCTGTCAATTAACAATGGTTATTTCTATTTTCATGTTTATGTCAAAACAATATATCCCAGTGAACTTGAAATAAAAGATATCTTAAGAGTCTGGCACACCTGTATCATATTTGGATATTTCAATTGAAAAAGCCATTAATGGTAATCTAACAACCTAGCTCTATGAAAAACAATATTATTTTAACTTTTCTATCGTCGACTTCCCTTACTCATTTTTGTGAGAATATTTTTATTATATTTAATAAAGAGTAAGCAAAATTAATTACTAGTACAGCAAAACTCGTTTAGTACGAACACGGATATAGCGAATTTACGGATATAGCGAAGTCATCTTGGATCCCCAGCTTTATAAATTTGATGAATTTCTTATACAGTTATAACGAATTACGGATATAGCGAAGTAATTTCAAAGGTTCCTGTGACTTCGTTATAACCGAGTTTTACTGTATTTTGTGTAACCATATTTTAAAGATGATTTCAAAAACAAATAGTCAGAAATATATCTTTATTCAGGCATTATGTTGGTAGAAATTTGCAAGCATGGCCGAAAGATAATGGTTTTGCTGCTGTTGTGCTAAAGCTAAATGAGAATTAAACATTTGCGTCCTTTGTGCATGTGTCATCTGTTGGTGAGAGGCATATGGCATGCTGAAATATGGATTATACATATATGGAGGGGGGTACACGTAGGGGGACCAAGGATTGTTCCATTCAGGACAACCTGTAGGGGGACAGTTTGGCTCTTCATAAGCTTCCTCATCAACCTCAGATTGTTCATCAGAAAAATCATCATCTTCCTCACACTGATCATCATAATCATCATTTTCCTCATCCTCAAAATGTTCCTCCTCATCTGAACACACCTCACCATTTCTATAATCATGTTCATGTTCTTCCTCACTCTCATCAATATAATCACAATACTTAATATGTTCAATATCCTTTTTGTCATCCTTTAAAAATCCTGACCTATTTATCGGTTGCCAAGTGTTTTCACTATTTTCTGATACATCCTTCTTTTGTGATTTACTTCTTCCACTGTCTTTCTTCATCTGCTTTTGTCCACAGGATGTATATCCATCATTCACACTTGGAAGGAAAACAAAGCCCTCTGTTTGAGTTGCTGTGCTTGTATTGTCTTTTCTATCTTCCTGCTCCTCTTCTTCTGAGAATTCACAGTGGTCATCTATAGAAAGTAGAGTGTCTATCATTGATAGTAACTGTTCTTTTTCTCCTTCTTTCCATACAAAAGGAGTTGGTTTAATCGTTATTTCTCCTCTCTCATATGATGTTTCTCTCTCTTCAAGATATTTTTTATATTCTCTTTCCTTCTCCTCATAACTTTTGGAACTTTGTTTATCTTTATGGCACAGAAATTCTTCAAGTTGGGGTATACACATTTTTATTGCCTTCTCTTTATCCTTTTTCTTGGGACTTGTTTTCTTTGGCATTTCACGTTCTTCACAAATTTCTGCAGGTTTAGCACATACCTCTATGCCTTGTTTTATTTTCCTTTGATCATTATAACTTTGATGAACATCATATGGACTGTCCTCTTCTTGCAGAATATTTCCTTGGAAAGGACCACTCAAGGACTCAAAAGCACTAACCTTAAAATCACCCCTCTCATTTGCTGATGGAAACCCAATGTCATTTTTCATTTCAAGGGGCTCAGAAAAATTCTCATTTCCTTTCTCTGACTCAACCTCTGCCCTTACAGGTATCTCCTTCTTCTTATTTCTCCAATGCTTCTGCTCAAATTCAGACTCCAAGTTTTGTAAATGTTTTCTTCCTGCACTTTTCTGTGAATGCCTGTTTGAAATATTCTGTTGTTTTGAGTTTTCTTTCAGACTGTTTTGATTTTCTGTGACATCCATCTTCTTTGGTGATATTCGAGTGTGATCTGTGATGATCTGTTCTGTTGACACCATATCATCAAGGTTAAATGTCCCCTCACTCTTTGTCAGTGTACTGGGAATGGGATCTACCAAATAAATAGCCATGCTTAATTGACTATACTTCTTTCTATAAAACAATCATGTTTTCTTTAACATTTGCTTACAAAAAAAATACAGCCCTGACTGATATCATAGTATGAAATGTAATCTTAGAAACTGAACACAATGATTTTTTTGTCTTTAATAACTACCTGGTAGGTCCTTGATGTGTGTATTACATTTCTTCTCCACTTTATTTAACTCCTTTTCCTCTTGACCATGGCTGACAATATTCACTGCTGCACCAAAAGTCCCTAAAATTTACATTTTATTATTAAAATACATGTATCTAAGTTACAAGTATAATACTTCATGTGGTCTTTTTATATACATCATAATAATAAATAATTCTTAAACTCAACAACCTTAAACTGATGAATTGTAAGAAAAAATGAGACATTTGAAAATGAAAATTAATTTTGATAATTTTAAATACCAAATCTTCCAGCTCTCCCAATCCTGTGTAGATAAGTTTCATGGTCCTTTGGAACATCAAGATTTATCACCATATTTACTTTATCTGCATCAATTCCTCTTGATGTCTATAAAAATCACACAAATTACAGTATAAAACTTATTTAACCATAATGGTAAGTCATCACTACATATGTTTTTTTTAGATCTCTTCATTTTTTTATCAATAAAATTTATCATCATTTAAGAGCATACTACTATGTTTAGTACAACTGACTTTTTAAGAAAACGTCTGTAGCACTGCATATATACTGTGGATTCATCAATTTTATTTGGCATCAATTTTCGTTTATTTTGTAAGACGTATATTTTCTAGGATACTAAATTCTGTAGACACAAGCAATGCCTATACAAATGTATAACATATTTCTTAAGTCAATGAACATTTAATTTTCTAGATTTGCTCAACAACGAAACCCTTAAAAATTGGTACTCAATGAATATTGATGAAACCACAGTATGTCACACTCTTAACAATACATGTAAGGAAAGTATTTTTTGTTTTCTGACAATTTCTGTACTTGATTTAAACATGAGAGTAGTTATTCTAATGAATTAACTCACTAAATCAGTGGAGATGAGAACTCTACATTTGTATGTCTTCAGCTGACTCATCGCCTCATTCCTGTCTCTCTGGTCGTGACTTCCTGCAATACAGGCTGTCGGCCAACCATGACTGATCAAGGCATCCGCCATATTTTGGGCCCTACAATACAGATAACCAATAGAAATTGTCCTCTGTTTCCAAGAGAGTCATGTGAAGTTTTTTTTTCTTTCAAAAATCAAATTCAAATTCTATATGGAGAAGAAGTTTAGAGAAAAGCCGAAATAAAAGACATGGACAAACTTTACAAATGTACAACTTTTAAATCATGAAATACATGAAACATGAATTATATTTACAGCATCAATTGTCATATTTTTTCTGAACCTGAATTAACAATAATTACTGCTTGAGTGAAAAGAGATGTCTGAATTTTAATTTCATGCACTCTTTTTGCATACTTTACCTTGTTTGGAGGTTGGAGAAGATCAAACACTGCTGGAAATTAACCGAGGACAATAACTCTATCACAACTTTGGTTTTGTTGTCAAACACTTTGTTAGGCAAAGCATGATAAGTCACCACTTTTCTGAACTGTTTAATTCCTGAAATATGATGGAAAGATGATAAATAATATCAGTAAACATTACAAAACGTAACTCTAGTTAAAAGTAATTTCTTCAAAAGTTTTAAACATTCAGTGTTAGCTTCTGATAATTATTGTGATAATTTCATGATTCTAATACATTTTTATCATCTGTTCAATAAAGTCTCACTTATACAATCATCTTTTAAACAATTTTTTTCTTACTTTATCCTACAAAACAAAATAAGTACTGCATCTCTTAATTACCAAGCAGAGCAGGATCAGAGATGTTGAGCCTCAGAAATGTGGGGTTCCTCATATAACTGGTCAGGTGCTGTGCCAGGTATTCTGGGTAAGTGGCTGACAAGGCTAACATCTGTTTGTTCTCGGGGAGTGCAGAGTAGATCCAACTACAAATACAGATCATGAGCAATACAAAACATTAAAATTTAACAAGAGGCCCATGGGCCACATCGCTCACCTGAGCACTAAGGGTAGGAAAAAGTAGAAAATGGCTTTTTATTGTAAAGTTTAAATCCAAAAGTAGTCCCATGACCAATCATGGATTTGCTATTTTTTAGAAAATGATTTTTCCTCTATATATCTTTAAAAACTTTGGTCGGCCATTTTGGCCCCGCCCTACCCCGGGGGGTCATGATTTGAACAAATTTGAATCTACACTACTTGAGCATGCTTCCATATAAATATGATGAATTATGGCTTTATCATTCTTGAGAAGAAGATGTTTTTAGAATTTTCCTATATATTTCTATGTAAAACTTTGGTCGGCCATTGTGGCCCAGCCTTACCCCCGGGGGTCATGATTTGAACAAACTTGAATCTACACTACCTGAGCATGCTTCCATATAAATTTGATGAATTATGGCTTTGTCATTCTTGAGAAGAAGATTTTTAAAGAATTTTCCTATATATTTCTATGTAAAACTTTGGCCATTTTGGCCCCACCCTATCCCCGGGGGTCATGATTTGAACAAACTTGAATCTACACTAACTGAGCATGCTTCCATATAAATATGATGAATTATGGCTTTGTCATTCTTGAGAAGAAGATCTTTTTTAGAATTTTCCTATATATTTCTATGTAAAACTTTGGTCGGCCATTGTGGCCCCGCCTTACCCCCGGGGGTCATGATTTGAACAAACTTGAATCTACACTACCTGAGCATGCTTCCATATAAATATGATGAATTATGGCTTTGTCATTCTTGAGAAGAAGATTTTTAAAGAATTTTCCTATATATTTCTATGTAAAACTTTGGTCGGCCATTTTGGCCCCGCCCTACCCCCGGGGGTCATGATTTGAACAAACTTGAATCTACACTACCTGAGCATGCTTCCATATAAATTTGATGAATTATGGCTTTGTCATTCTTGAGAAGAAGATTTTTAAAGAATTTTTCCTATATATTTCTATGTAAAACTTTGGTCGGCCATTGTGGCCCCGCCCTACCCCCGGGGTACATGATTTGAACAAATTTGAATCTACACTACCTGAGGATGTTTCCCCATAAGTTTCATCTTTCCTGGCACAGTGATTCTTGAGAAGAAGATTTTTAAAACATACCACCAAATTTTCACTAATTCTCAATTATCTCCCCTTGAATGAGGATGTGACCCTTCATTTGAACAAACTTGAATCCCCTTCACCCAAGGATGCTTTGTGGCAAGTTTGGTTGAAATTGGCCCAGCGGTTCTTGAGAAGAAGTCGAAAATGTGAAAAGTTTACAGACAGACAGACGGACAGACGGACGCCGGACAAAATGTGATTAGAAAAGCTCACTTGAGCCTTCGGCTCAGGTGAGCTAAAAATTGTTAAATTATAAAAAGGACATGCAATTAACATGTTTTCTTCTTTTTAAATTTTTTTATTTTTTCCATGTTTCAAAGAGATTTTCTTCCAAAGTGCAGATTTACAAAAATAATTTACTTGATCTGTTCTTGGAAGCTTTCCTCTAATAGTTTATCAGCTTCGTCCAGTACAAACATACGAATACTGTCAGTGTTCATGATGCCAGTTTCTATCAGTTGTTTTATTCTACCTAAAAGAAATTTAACTTAAGCATGATAAGACAGAATAAGATAAAAAGAAATTGATCAAATTGGATGATTTTTAAAGTTTTGTAGTAAATATTACAGGCATTAGCTCAGGGTAAACTCAAACAGTACAATACAGGTACTATATAGATTTCTTTTGCTTGGTTCAAAGGCTTATAATCTTTCTTGAAATTTATATCTCAGACATACAAGTTATACAGATATATGAGCTGATAATCCTAACAGATATATGTTTTGGTGTTAACAGAAAATCACAATCGAATCTTGACAAAATTACCTGGAGTTCCTACAGCAATGTGACATTTCTTGAGTTTCTGTTTATCTTCTGTGACAGGCATTCCCCCTATAAAGGTGTGGCACTTCAGGGTAGGTATACATTGTCCTATGGAACAGATCACATCCCATATCTGAATGGCAATCTCCCTGGTAGGGGCTAGGACAAGCACCTGCAGAAAAAAAAAAGATAAATAATAATACATTATTCATTTTCCTCTTTAATCCATATGTCATATGATGCATAAAGATTCACAATCAATTCAAATGATAGATAGATTATTGTTTTATGACAAGTAGACAACATTTCAGCGATATTTTGGTGGCAAATTCAAATGAAATTGACATTCATGAAAAATGTAAGCTAACCTGCAATGCATAACTTTCAGTTTGCAGTCCTTCCAAAGCAATAACAGAAAATACACATGTTTTTCCAGTTCCTGACTTTGCCTGTACAATCAGATCTAGAAATCAAAATAGAGGGAATTAAAAAAAATCTATTTATTAAACATTTACACACACATGAACTACAAAATAATTTATCTGTTAGCCATACCAATTTTTTCAAATAAACTTTGTTTTAAATATTAAGTTTTCAACAACTTATGCTTTATCATACACGTTTTTGCAGCTGTAGGAATGGTGACAATGAAACAGCAAGATCAATCCAGGATTCCTGTTGTGCCTTGTAGCAATCGCGAATGATAAAATGTTAATGCAATAATTTATGACAGTCATTGCATTGCAAAGCTTAATGATATTTTTATCATTATTAAGTAGCGTTTCATCGTAGTGGTTGCTACAATACCTTTTAACACAATGTACTATAATGTACATGAACAGAACTACCTAGACGACAGTAATTTGATGTTTGACGATGACACAACACTCCCTCTTGAAATATTTGATATGATTTCCACCATAAAAATTGCTACCTATAAAATTGATCAGTTCCCACAACATTGCAGCACTAACTAATCATGATTAAAGAGGAGAAGAATCCAATGAACCAGACCAAGATTTCAACCTATCTGGTCCCTTGAACTTAATGGAAGTATTTTACTAAATGAGCTACCTTACCACATACACCAGGTCCGGCACAATGTCTTGATTAAGCTATATAGCTTGATTTAGCTATATAGCTTTATCAAGCTATTCGGAATAGCTTGATTAAGCTATTTTATCACAATTTTTTCTCAAATGTTTTATTTTTTCAGCATGTACAAAAAGTCGTACCTTGGTGCAGTGAAAATATTTAACTTTGAACTCTTCTGAATACAATGCATGTAAAAATCACTCGCCGAATTGCGTCTCCTTAAGAGACTTTGTAATCAAAGTTTTAAAAGTTAGGGGGGCTATTGATGAGTGACAACACAGTTATTTCTTGAATGAAATTATAAAGGAGGTCAGCTATGGCCAACAAGATAATTGATTGGTAACAGTTCAACACAATGAGAAGCAATCATACTTATCCACACCTCACCGCACTCAATAGGACACTTTCCACCACTGCAGTTACCCAAACAATGGAAATTCATCTTTTGCTTAAAAGTATTCAACAACAGCAATGTTAGAACTTTCTATGATTTAGGTTGTTTTTTTGATAGCCCAAAGTACATATATGAATAGTCAAATACTTGCGACTTTTTGTTTATTTCTAACTAAAAATGTTTTGTTAAAAACTGCATATAAATAGCTTTATTAAGCTATTTTAAATAGCTTAATAAAGCTATATAGCTTTATAAAGCTATATAGCTTAATCAAGACATTGTGCTGGACCTGTACACAAGTTTAAAAAAAAGCCTGCATGGACCCTGAATTACATGTCAGGTGCTCTACCACCACTAAGCTACCCACTGGTCAGGTTGATGTTCATTTCCATATAACCCAAACTGCTACATAAGTATATAATCATGACCAATAAACATTCTTAAGAGGGAAGCGTTACATGTACTACATCATCCATTTGTCAGGTGCTTGTGCAGCAATCTACTCATGATCTAATCTTATTTTGGAACCTGAGGATTGACTTGACTTGGTCATTGTCATTGTGCAGTTTTAAATACTGAAATGTCCTACAATTCAACATGATGCTTTTTTTTTTTACCTAAACCACATCGTCCAAGTGGTATTGCTTTCAGCTGTATGGGAGATGGGCGCTGAAAGCCTGCTTTTTGGAGCCCTTGTAAAACATTAGCTGACAAAAGCAATCCGGAAAAATCTACATTTTCATTAATAAGAACATCCCCTGTCCTGTACTTGTCTTGGATAACGTGTGCAACTGAGGCCTTAGACATTTCCACAATTTTTTTTTTTACCACGTTGTTTTACATTTCGTTTCGTTTTCGTCTGTTTACGTTTCTCATTTATAAGGCCGATTCCCATTGGTTCTTACATAAAATCTAAACTAATCGGAATCTAGATAAGAATTCTGTATCTTAGTCATTTGGGTGTTTATTATTACGCGTCTTTTTAGTGTGAAATTTCTTTTTCATAAGCGCTTGTTTCACGTGGATGATTTCTCTTCCGGCATCTGAAATAGAAGAAACTTTTACTTTTCAACTTTGGCAATCACTATGTCACATCAAACAGGAATTCAGGGTAACATTTTCTTACATAATAATTTTCAGACCCTTCTGTAAGCTTATCTTCCTTTTTATGTTTTTATCTCTAGATGTCCATGTACGAGTTTATGACCAAAAATGGGCGTGTTTTAAGTCATTATTTACACATCTTTAAAAATAGATATGTTCGAATATTCCTTAGAAAATTAAATTAAAATAGTCCTGTGCCTCGTATTTGTAATTATTTTTTACAGTGTTCATGATCGGTGACAAAGATCAGCATATAAAATTTAAAAACCTTCCTGAAATGTTCTTCCTTGCATAAAAAAAAATTCAAGAAAAATAAATATCAAACTACTTATCCACCTTCCACTTACTATAAATTGAAGGATATAATCATAGTAGTAACATTATTAGGGTATTATTAGGGTATTTTATTATCTGTATACATGTTATACTAACATACTAGTTAGTTTTACCGTTTAATCTAAATTTGTCTCAGGAAATGCCCCCGCCACGGTTAGAACACATCATTATATGTAGATCCGATATAGTTGCAATGTAGCAAGTCAGAGCAGATCTGCTCCAAATGATTTCGAAGACTACAAAAGGAGTTGCAGCGAAAATGATTACCAAATTAATCATAGCAAACCTTCAAGATGTATACTGGTGTCTCATTATATCGCGGTACTTAATTCTTTTGCATAAAAAAGTATAATTACAAATTTTTAATTCAACTCATATCAAATGATATTAATAAATCTAACTATAGCCTAACTTTTAAGTGTCAAATTATTTTCCAAGCTTGCATCGTTTAATTTATGGTCTATTTTGAAAACAGGAAGTCTTATTTACCTCCTACATTGGAGAGTCTCATTGTATCGCGGTATGGGAAAACATGGATGCCTCTAGCTGACATGGACGTCAATTTTTATTCTTGAATTTGCGATGTAATTCTACATAAAAAATAATCAATTATACTGTAAATTAACAGTCTTTAAAAATTAACTTTATTATAATTTTCAATAGCTTATAAATTTAATGGTCTAAATATAAAAACGGGACTGGAAATCTGTAAAACTACGTTTTATTTGAATATTTCTTTTCAAACGGATGTTCCCTACTTTTTAATCATAAAAAAAGTAAACACTCAGACAAAATACACATTGTCCATCAGCAAAAAGAATATAGGCTATGCATCCAAATTTTTTGCAATATACCTCGATACAATGAAACCCGCGATATAATGAGAATCAAGTATATATATATATACATGTATGCCTAAATAATCCATATGAAAGATAAACAATCACTTGTTAATGAATAACACTATTTTAAAATTTCATATTGAACATTGATTTCATTAAATACGCAAGTTTGGATTATCTCCCAAGTTGTGCTCTTTCATTCCGGAGGGGAGTTTAGTTTCGGCATAAGCAGGAAGGTGACACAGTATTTGGATACATTACATCACCGATCTACTATCATAACTGATAGATGAAACTAAAGGTGTCAATTTTTTCTACGAACAAGAAATCAAAACAAAAAATAAAAATCGGAACCTTATAAATCTCTGTGGATACAAACTTATCAAACAGGGGGAAAAATGCAGATCTCTAAAAATGCACACGCATCTCATCATTGTATGTCGACATTCAGAATTACTCTCACTTATAATAACTTATAAGAGACGTTACCAATAACTTTTTAAGAAAAGGTTTGTACAATCAAAGATTTATTTTTCATACAAAGACTATGATGGTTTTTTCATTTTAAAGTATCTAAATATGTTAGTATAGTAAAGCTTTATAAAACTATCATTCAAAATAATCATTGCTTAGCATTGTCATTTTTATATAACGCGCATATATACACTGTCTAAATGAATTCTAAAACCAACATCCATCATCCATTTATTTATACGCATTTGTATACATTAACAAACTGTCCCTCTTCCATGTGGATATGGATACTTTTTGCATCTCTATCATATGAGAGTTACAATCATGAAACTTGCGTATTCATTTAATTTCATATTTACTATGTATAATTATATATATGCCTTTTATCTTGTATTTTACAGCTAGTGATGATTTGAAAACATTTTTCTCAACGTGCAAAGATGGAAGTATCAGAGCTGTGAAGGTTTCCATTATTGATGGTAAATGTTGTTACATGTACTAATCAAGACATTTTTTTTAATTTTAATTTTTTTTTTTAGTGAAATTAAGTGTAAACTTCTGTAAAACGGGAGTTTACAGGCTTTATACCTATTGCCCAATCTAGTAAGATTTTCCATGTAAATGTTTCAATATAAATGTGAATATTAAATGGATGAGTCTTGGAGTTAAAAAGTTCTACTATTTAGTTTTCTCCCAGGAAAAAATATACATCATATTTAGTTACATGTACCCGTACATAAATATTTGATATTAAAATTCAAAAAAAAAATTTTTTCAGAAAAACTAGAGTTGGCAGGAAGTCAGAATCCAGTAAACACTTGGGAAGATGATATCCTTTAATTGTTTCTATTTTCTATATGCCATTCTTTTAGTACAGTCACACCTTGTTATATTGAACTTATGACAGTGAAACCAAGAAAAAATTTGAAATATATCCAAGGGTTTAAAATATAAAGGTTAAATTTCCAATTCACTTTGTTTTATTAATGGTTTTCAAGAATTCAAAATTATAAATCCATGCATTTTTAAGAATAGAATTCTGTTGTGTTGTATCATATGATTCTGTTACTGTATTCCTTAACACAACAAACATTATGACAAAACAGTCCTTCCAATGCTCGAAGAGAAACAACCATGTTATATAATATACAGACTGGACTCAAAGAACAACCTAGGTTATCAGTGGATCTTCATCTCTTGGTCTCCCGATTTCTCACCGGTAAGGCTGATTACATTCAATTTGTTTATGTATTGTCGTATACCGGTAATATAGATTTTGAATCTGTCTATACATTATGTGAGATTCGTTAAATATATGTACATGGATTTTCATCATTCTGTATATATATGAATGACGAACACTTGCAGTAATTGAATTATGCACATTTTAATCTGTTGATACATTTTATGATATAATACCTGTTCCTGAATCAGGTTGTCAATATGAACACTTTCAGTGATATGTACATGTATTTCTTTCCAAAAAAAAAAGGAATTTGATTCTTTTCTTTAGAAAGTGAAGCTTTATGTTTGAGATTTTAAACGAATTATTACAACCATGTTAATGTTGTGTACATATTGTATTATGTACATCTTTCTTTGTGACATCTTACAACAGGTCAGACAGAAGATGTTATATGCAGCAACCCGCGCCACACTGAAAACAGAGTTTGGGACAGGTTTGATCAAAGACGAGATGTTTGGCACCACCAAAGTAAGTAACCCCCTTGACATGGTTAAATCTCCCTTGGCAGGATTATATTAATAAATTTAAAGAAAGAAAATAGAATTGAGGGATATGGCATTTTAATGTGAAAATTCTTTATGATTTTATAAAAAAAAATTTTTACATAATAAGAGACATCCTTATTTTTATATTTAGGAAGATATAAATCTCCATGGTTACAAAAAGCACCTGGCCTCCCATGATGCACCTGCACCCTTGACCTTTGCAGAAGAAGAGAAGCAGTTGATCAAAAAGCATGATGTATGTATTTAATAGCAATTTTACTTAAAATGTTTCATGTCATATGAAATGTGCTTGACATTTCTTGTGTGTTTGTTTTAATTTGTTTGCAGTACATCAGGGTTCTCCACAAGGGGTTTTATAATGGCGGGCCGCCATGGTTAAAATTTTGTGCGCCATGGTTAAAATCGGCAGCCGCCATGATTAAATTTTAATGCATTTCACTCCTGACACCTACTTTTTTAATGACTTAAGTAGTTAATTGTGTTTATACTACTACTGCCATGCACTTCGCATGCCTCGAAGGAAAGCGGGCTGTGCTAAACAAACAATGAAACATGTCGTTAGTCAGCGACTATGCTCTGAAGCGTGACAATCAATGAGAGTCAAGTAGCTGATCAGATGATCAATGTTTTGAGAGTTTATTATCCTGTAACATATAAATAATTTTTGGGAACTTCAACATATTCCCTACATGATTAGATATAACGGGTTGAACGTTCATAAAAGATGACAGTTACGAGCATGATAATCGTCATGCATGCTGTGTCAGAAAAAAAAATACTCTGTAAAAATTTCATACTCCTCTTTGGTTAATCAATTCCCCATGCTCTGTTTGTAAGCTTTAACCTTATAATCTTTTTGATAAAATGTTAATAGGGCTACGTCTCAATCGCCGTCTTAGCATGCTTAGTTTTAATCGCCGGTATAGTCGTAGTTTTAGAGTTACTTCCCGTTGTTATGAAATGTCGCGTGGCGCTATTTTTAGCATTGGGCACGTGGAGAAGTAAACAAAACTTGGTGAAAAGTGCAATATCAAGAAAAATAAAACGTTTAGAAAAAGGGACACCGGTCCAAATGTTCCTTTGTGTACCCATTCATCAGTTTTATTTATAGTGAAACAAAATATTTCATATAACAGGCTACAATTCTTATAATTAAATTTCTGAAAAATATTGCCATGGTTACTGATTTATTTATCAACAATTTTTCTTTAAATTCCTTAAGAAGGTTACTACAGTTTTGGGCAAATTTTGTTACATTTGTGAAGTAAGATACAGGATAAATCCTTTTCAATTTAATTATTATTTTTTTTAACTTTAAAAAGTGTTAATTATTCCATGGTTTTGTGTTGCAGTGGTTAAGTTTAAAAATTGTAAAACCAGTCATTGATTAATGAAGATTAGGAAGTCTTACTCTAACAGAAATTTGTGTTTTGGGTCACATTTCGCCTTTGTGCAGCTTCCTCCATGGTTTAATTTTCAAATGTGGAGAACCCTGGTACATGTTATAAAAATGAAATTTGAAGTATTCATAAATTCCTTGATTCAAATTAATTTTATTTACAAACATTATAGAAAGAGGTAAGTTACACACTGTTGAAAGCAAAGAAAACTTAATTTCTAATTTCAGATATCAAGCATGTTTTATGAATATTTTTTCTAGACTCTAAACTGTTATGTTACTTAATGTGCATAATTAACTGGAGAAGGCATTTACTACCAGATGTATATTCTATTCATTGATAAATCTTTATTTCATTAACGATAGATTGAAGGCTTTCTCCATAAATAAACAATAAATGTGCATGAATTCAATATTTGCTTTGGAATGCAAATAATATTTAAGGAATATTTATGATTGAATTTAAACTTGCCTGCTTTTTTTCCACAATTGAAACATTATACACAGGGACTTGCCAACACTTTTTATGCTGCGTGACTATTCTTGAAACTGTGATCTTGAAATTTCTTTAAATATTTGTGATGTCTAAATCTTCTTGAGATTTCTGAAATCTTGAGGAAAACTTTGTATTAATCAAATTTATAGATCTGATAATAAAACAAAAGTTCTGTATGTCTCTTTATGAAGACCGTTTTTACATTTTTTATTGAAATTGGTTGAAAGTTATGTTGTCACTGATTTGCTGAATTTGGTTTTTAATGTTTTGAAAAATATAAATAAGTGATTACAACTGTATGAAAATCGAATTTGTTTTAAAATTCAGAGATAGTTTTTTTTTTTATTGCAACAATGAATTGTTTCTTTCTAGCTATCCTGTAACTGTATTAATCTTTGTCTTTTAATAAATAGTTGTTGTGATGTTTTGGTTCTGGATAAACTGTTTTTTACATTTAATACACATTTGATGGTTCGTTAGGTGAATGCTGTTAGTGTAACAGATAAACACCAACACATGACGGGTGTCTACTTCCCTGTCTCAGACCAAGCTTTACAGAAGTTAGAAGATCTCAGGGATGGAAAAATCACATATGTACAACTGGTGAGTCATCAAGTTTTTACTTGTCAAATATCATACAACATGTACAATAGGTAGAACATAAAATAATATGTTAATCCTGCTTTTGCCAACAGTTGTCTTTTGCCCTATTCTCTACTTTAATAAGTTAAAGGTGCTAGTGAAAATACCAAGGATTGCATAAAGAATAAAATACCATAAATAAAATTGTAATACTGGTATTGAAACTTTTTTCGCTGTTGGTTATTATAATGCATGTTGGAGCTAATACGAAACAGTTCAATTAATTTAATTTAGGCCTTTTAGGCTTTACACAACTGTGATCTAGATTTGTTATATATTTGTTTTCGTGCTAGAGTCTGGATATACCAACAGAGACGATTAACCTAGAAATGGCTGACAACACAGATATCAAGTCGTTGGCTTCTCGAGTCCCAGACGACAGTGCCAGATATCACGTCTTCACATTCAAACACACACACGAAGGAGATTACACAGAAAGTATAGGTAAGATCTAATTGACACCGCTTTGATTCTATAGTAAAGTACTCATACGATTTTTTGTTGTTCTGTTTATTTCTTTCAGAGTAATGAAAGTTGTAGATGACATTTATCATACATATATTTCATATTTCAATGATATTTTTTTACAAATACATCTGTACAGTTGAGACTGATTAATCCAGTGGCTTGTTTTCCCAAAACAAATCATATGAATTAATCTAGCTTGCATATTTTTGCTTCTTAGCGTTAAATTTAATTTTTTTTTACCCCCTTTGTTTCTGTTTCAGTGTTTATCTACTCCATGCCTGGATACAAGTGCTCTATAAAAGAGAGAATGCTCTACTCCAGTTGTAAATCTCCACTGATCTCCAAAATAGAGGCCCTGGGTATAGAGATTACCAAAAAGGCAAGTCAGGCTTATTAATCAGCAGAGATTATGTAAGGTGGACTTTGAACTGAAGGAGGAAATATTTACTGTTATTTTTAATTTATATGTACATATATAAATCACACATTTTAGCACTAACAGGATGACAATAGGAAGTAATATAACATATATTACTAAAAATGGCAACTTTTTTTCTGGGAAAGGAAGAAAAAGGGGTTTATGTATGAAAATAATTGTTCAGCTAGTTATGAAATTCCTGTTGAAGGACAATAAAAGGAACTTAGGTCTAAGGAAAAGGAAACAGTTTTATACACCATGTAGAATGTCTACAAATTGGTGTCTTCCCCAGAGAAACATAGGTGGTATACAAATCCCTTTCATTTGCATCCATCCAAGAATAGCTGATGTAGGAGGCTTCCACTCTTACGAGGGTTGTCCCGTAAAATCGTGGACAAAGCGTTTTTCTCGAAAAGTAATTGGCGCACTAAGCTGGAAATATCAGTAAATGTTTATTTATCATATTTAAGTGCATGATATTTTTTTTGATAAAATAGAGGCAAAAATAAAGATTTTATTATGCTTGAATGTGCACGAGGTATTGTCCTACGGCGCACGGTCAAAAAACCAAGGTTTTATTAAAGAATACACAAGTTTGAATTCAAAATAAAAGTTTTAAATACATAAGATTTGGATTAAAATTATCCTAATTCAATTCCACAATCAATTTTGTAGTCTTTGTAAAAAATTTTAAGGCATTTGCTTAATTTTTGGCAGTTTCTCGAGCATTCGAAATGGAAAGTGGTAAACACAACACACGAAAAATGGCGACGTTTTATGATGTTACGGCGCACCGGAGAACAGTTCAGTTTTATTTCGATGTTGTAATGACACCTTTAGAGACTTGAAATGACCATAGAAGAAAAAAGATTATAAAAATATCACCATATCTTAAGTATACAAATGAAATAGGAGTTTTCTTAGCAAGTTTTTTTTAATCAAGTCCCTTGGGAGTACAAAACATACGGACAAACTCCTAATGTAATAGCAAAAGACACTGTCACAGTAGACCGCCAATATGAGATTTTCTTTTAGTTGAATGATGGTGAGAATATTGTCCATAACCTACTAATAAATCTTCAGAAGATCGCATGAGGGTGCCAATTGGTTCTTCGACTGTTTATGGAGACTAAAGAATGTGTATCAATGAAATTCCTAAATTTGAGTCAGACTCATCCAACTTCATTTTCAGCAAAGATAAAACGTGATGCTGTTTTAGACACTTTGACGTTATAATCCATGCGCCGTAAGGTGATACAATACATGGCATAAAATCTCATAATTTGTTTATTTATGCATATATTTATCTGAAGTTTGGTGTTTATATTACTAAAATATGTACTAAATAATAATGAAAATTTCAGAACGCAGTGATGTTTATTTTTCACACTAGAAAACTTGTCCGAGATTTTACGGGACATCCCTCGTAATTTATATCCACATTAGTTTAAAGACATTATTGAGTTCATTTCCCTCTTTTTAATTGAGTTTCTAAGTCTTAACATGTAATGTGTCAATAGATATTAATTGTGTTACATGTATTTATCTCAAATGTTGTGTCAGACCTACAATTTTTGTTTGAATATGTAAGCCAGAAAAAAAATGTGATAAAGGAATTATAACTTGTGCATACATTATAAACAAGTCAAACATACAACTTGAATGTACTAGTGCATTTATCGAGGCTAAGGTCTCGGCATGCAGTATTTAAATACAAAAAATTTGGAATATGTCTCCATTGGTAATATTAAACAATCACAAACAGCTCTAAGACTAATTTTGAATTTTTTTGTAGTTGGAAGTAGACGATGCAAAGGAACTTTCAGAAGAAAATGTTTACGATGAGATTCACCCAAAGAAGAATGTAGCCACCAAGAAATTCGACAAACCTAAAGGCCCTGCTGGTAGAGGTCCGCGTCGCATGGCCAAGACGTGAATAACAATGGAACAATAAAAAAAAACCTCTGGTGCTACTGTAAAATCATTGATAATTAATTTTAGTGATTTGCTGTAGTGGACTTTATTTTAAAAAATGGACATAAACATCAAAGATCTACTGTATACAGGATTATTTTTACCCCCTCGTTATTTTTGCCCTTTCACACTTGCAAACAATTTTGCCCCGTTTTAATATTTCGCCCATTCACAGGTTTATTTAAAAATATATACTTTTTTCTTTGTATTGGCCCCGTCTTAAATTCGCCCACGTGTCAAGGGCGAAGAAGGGCAAAAATAATTCGGGGGAAAAATTTCCCTGTATACAGTAATTAAATTCATGTAGATAGGGCATCTGGTATGCATTTATCACATAGATAAATTATTAAGTTATATTTGTTAACATTTTATGCATACAAGTGGGAAAAAAGTTAAAATTAGATATGTACATGGTAAATTATTTGGAAAGAAACTTATTTTCCCAATAATGATTCTAGGTTGTTAATTCATGAAAAATATGCTTGATCTATGGATGACAACTCTTCTACTAATTCATAAAAATTGTCTCAAAATATTTTTATACACAGTTTTTGGCATTTTTCAAGTGTTTTACATGTATTTGGACTTCTGTCTTAGAATATTGTGTATAAAAAAAACAAATCACTCTATTAATTTTGGTATTATTTCTTTAGACATAAAGAGATTATTAAGCAAACCAGAAAATTTATTGTTTATGATTTTTTTGCTTATTTCTAATGTATAAATGCATTGAAAATCCCCAGTGTGAAGATACTTGATAATGTCATTTCTGTGTTATATCATGGGGAGGGGGGATAATAAATTTGTTAGGGGTTATCTACAAATAATTATTTATTTACATCGCCATCTGTTCAGTACCTCAATAACATTGTAGCACGTCTAATTTTTACCGATTTGAATTCTTAAGCTTTGTTTTTCCAGTCGTTTTCTTGTTTTAATGTTAATTATCAGGGGACAGTTTTGTAGTTTACTGTTATTTTTTAAGTAGAATAGCTCAATATTTTAGTCATTCCATTTCCCCTTCAGAATGCATTTCCAATAATTTTACTACTTACATGTAAAAGATTTGATCACTGCTTTACTGATATTGCAAGACCTAACTAAATGAGATTTTATATTTTAAACATTTATTTTTTGTCTCGGGAAACTTTGTATTTTTGCAGCATATTTTTCCTAATTAAAACATAAACTAGCATACTTTTTCTAAAAGTAGTGAAGATTTGTATCAAAACAGATTAAAATGTCATATACTTTAAATTTCATAGTAATTACAAGGAGTTTTTCTTTAACTTCATAATGTTAGTTTATTAAGTATAAACATACATGTATACATGTATGCTTCATTAACAATTTTCAAATATTGGTGGGCTTTAACAAGAGATATAAACACAAAGTATTGTAGTGAAGTTAGCTTGTCACTCATTTTAGTTTTCCATTCCTTGTGCCTGTTTTGTTTGGACTCATTTGTGTTGAAACTGTAATTCTAGTATATTGTGATATGAAGATAGACTGTGATTTGCATTAAAGTCAAGTGACAGTGAATGCATGCTTTAGCATCATTAGTTAAGTTTGACATCATTTATTCTGTAGAACATTTATTAAACTTTCATGTACTACAATAAGAGGAATGAAATACTTTTATTATTAAAACTGTTTTTCAACATATTCAGGTCTTTTATTCTTAATTTAAAATAAAAGATACATGTATTTATTTTTTAATCTCAATCCCGTTCAGTAGCTCTGTATTAAAATCCAAGTATCTGTGGGCCACAGATATAAAACAGAGAAAAACATAATTGTAAACTTGTCATGTATTGTTATATGCACCAACATTATTTTAAAAAACTCAAAATTGTTATAGAACAATGAATTTAGTTTTAATTTTTACACAATCAAAAATGTATCATTTTGTATCTTTATGTGACAACTTTACCATATGTGAAAATGAGAAAGACTGAAATATAGGGAGCATACAAAAATTACTAATATATCCTAAAAAATTAAGAAAAGTAGAGAAAATTAAGTTTAGCCAATATATCCATTTTAGTTAAATTATTTATGTCAGTTTGTTAATATCATCTTATAGGCCCTTTATGGTAGTATCTTTTTATGCAAAAAGAAAACCATTCAATCTTTTGAAATACAAGTAGAGATCCCATAATTGGCAACAGTTAATTTTTTTTATTACTAATGTCCAGGAAAATGTAATGACCTTGACCTTTAGGTAATATAAAACGGTCAAATTTAATTTCACTGATATCATCACTTTAATGATATTGCCTTCCTGATTCTGTGAAAATTTCATTAATTTTTAAATACAAGAAACATACAAGAATCCTACCTTAAAACATGTTTAAATAAGTGAATTGACACGTTAGTCAAAGTGATTTTCATTTTTCTTGACATTAAAATATACATTGAACAATTTACAGATACCGTATATACTCGCCTATAAGTCGGTTGTATTTAATAAGCTTATACATCAGAGGGACTGACCTCATATAACACCATTCATTTGATAGCTCGCCTATAAGTCGGACATAGAGTTTTGGACAAGAGATTAACTCCCAAAAATCCGACTTATAGGCGAGTATATACGGTACAAAGAATAATGCTGGCAACAAGGCTAAATTGTTCATCCCTGGTTTTTCGTTAACAAGTGTGTCTTATTATATTAGATGGACAGTGGATAGTCAGTGCAACTGTCATTTTCAAAACGAAACTCTTACTTTGGAGATGTCTATTATTTTTAGAAAGATATTTCCATTTTCAAAGAGATATGTCTTTGAAAAAAAGTATCTCTCTCATTGTTACAATGTAACTTTGCAACAAACATTTGTGAAAACGTCATGACTTTACTTACCCTCGATACCGGTAGTCAGCTTCCCTTTTTATGTAGGAATAAAGAATTATCTTTTTCGTCCCAGCACCTATTGCACGGGGCCTTGGTTCCTACGGTCTCATCCAAAAGACCGAAATCCACGCTCTGCAATTGTTGGGATTTCGAATGTTGAAAAAATAACGTCGTCTATATGTGATATGGTTGAATTTAAAGCAACATATTCCTCTTTCCATATATCTCACCGAGTTAAAGGTACATATCTTAATACATGTGTAACTCTAGTTTTATAGAAAGATAGTCTTTCGGGTGTTTTCGTAAATCAATAGCTGATAATGGTTTTTTTTTTTTTTTTATTTCAACTCTTTAAAAAAAAAAGACGATTGTACTACACGTATCAAGACCCCCTCTGTTCTTCAGTATTTATTTATTTATTTATATATAAGTTCAGAATTCAAAAGCATATACATGATTCAACATATTTCGTATGTCGTATTCTAAAAACTGCCACCTTTCTAAAATAGATATTTGTAAGAGATTACTAGTTTTATGAAATTTTAATCTCCATTTTCTGAACTACAATATCCGCATATTGAATCAATACACAGTTATGATAAAGTGCATTTTGTTGGCATATCTGAAATCCACCCAAGGTGAATCATTCCCTTATCTTGACAAGGAAGTCAGCAGGTCGAGAAATTCATTTCATGATGGAACTCGTTACCACAATTTTCCATCTTCTACAACTTTTAATGTTCATTGGATGTGTTGTTCAACCATCACAGGTTTATATTTAAGTAGAACTTTTTCTCTTTTTATGATATTTCTCGATTGAGAATAGAAATATAAATACCGGTAGTAGTGCTGTTTTGACTGCACAGAATGTTTGTGTTGAATACATAAAACTCGATCTTGCAGTTTGTCTTTCCAGAGTGAAACTTTGTATTGGCAAAACAGAGATGGCTCTCTGGGTGGAACATTATATTATAAAATTCAAAATTCACTTGGTAAGTAACAGTTATGAAATTTTGATGAATTAACTATAAAAGAGACTTGAATTGATTTATAAAAACACTATATATTTGAAAATAAACTTACCATGATTTACCTACAAAAGAAAATGAGTACGTAAGGCATGTTTTTTTAAGATGGATACTTAAGAGTAAGTTTCAAATGTCAGGTTAATCTTAATTGATTTTAAAAAGTAATTAAATTCATCTTTTTATATTTCTATGAAAAACCCATTTACTAACGTTTATAGAAAATTATTTTATATTTATTCATTTATGTACATAAATTAACTATATTGTAAGTTTTATTTAGATTTTTATTATTATTTTTATTTATTTTTTTTTACTTACGCAGAAGACTGTACGAAGAAAATGATTCAAACAGTTATTAAGGATTTTGATGATCTTCTTAACTCTGATGGCTCAACGTCGTGTATCCGTCTGGTAGAAACGGATGGAAGTCCCAATTCTCATCCAAACACTGTGCATGCCTACGTTTATTTTCAGTATTTGTTTGATAGGTAAATATATATATTTCTGATATATTGAAAATATATCAAATATATTGAAATTTTGGCTACAAATATTCTTCTTTTAGTGCAAGAACATGCTTGTACTTTCGCTTTGAAAAGTTTCTAATAGGTACGTGAGGTAGTTGTTATGTAAAATTTTCGTCTGATCATTTATTTTGCACAGTACGAATTTTAAAAATGTAAACAAAAATAACAAACTTTAAGTATCTTGCTTTTTATGATCTCAAATAGATATATAATGATATTCAACAAGAAAAAGTGGAGATAACGAACAATAATTCAAATTTGGTTGTAACGCGTCATTTGATTGGATAAAAAATTAATCTATATACATGTATATTGTATAACGTACGTTGCCCACGTCACAATGAGATGTCAAAAACGCAACAATCCATTTGAGGTTACGATTAAACTCTGACCTATTAGAAGGCATTTATAAGGGAGAAATCCTCTTTTTTTCATTACTTATTGATTGAAAATTTTATTATAAGGAATAAATTAAAAAGTAAACCAAGTTATACATGTACAGGTATAAACTGGGTTGGACTACAATCGCAACTTCTCGGGCCTTTCCGACTAGCGGAAAAACGACCTGGAATGTATCTGGTAGACGCCATGACAACCCCCTTTTTTCACGATCTTTGAAATAAATGCATGGAGACCTTTTATCTGTGGAATATTGCATGTATGGCGTTTAACGTTATTCAATGTAATGATATTACCTAAAATATACTATTGAAGGGACTTTTAACTCCGTCTATCCTATATTTGAATAAACAGGAAATGTATATATAAATTTTTAACATCCGGTGATGTTAATACATTCGACGTTGTTTTTCCGACCTCTTACGGAAAGACCCGAGATGATGCGATTGGGTAAGATTAGTTTACGCTTTTTTTTATAAACTACCCCAACCCATGTTATAAACTTGGATTGCTATTTAATTCGTTCCCTAGGTGATCGATCTAAAAAAAGCTCCAGACTACTAGTTCTTACTTGTAGCAAAGGAATAGAAAAGTAGCAGTAAATTGGGACTTGAAACTTTACAACAGCAATAAATAGAATAATGATCCTTAATCAAGTCTCTTTTTAAGGCAAGATTGCAATAAGACTACAAATGTAGGAGTGGCTTTTAATAAAATTTTACTGAATTTTCAATTTGAATTACTCTGGCAACATAAATCATCAGAATCAAATAAGTCTCTTTATGTTCTTAGTGTAGTGTACTTGCATGCCACGTTATATTATAATCAGACTAAAACTGTATTTGATCTAGCATTTTGATAGCATTTTAAAGAAATTTCTATCTTTAGTAACCAAGGCAATAATCTTCATCGAAATCAAAAAACTATGAATAAAATTGTGCTTCTTAGTGTAGTCTACTTCTGCGCAAAAAAATTACTGAAATCAGACCAAAACTGTAGGAAGAGTAGCATTTTGAAAAAAAAAATTCACAGAAATTCTATTTTTAGTAACCACGGCAACACCGTTCATCGAAATCAAAAACCGATACACGGAATTATGTATCTTGTGTAGTCTACTTGTGTGATAAGTTATATTGAAATCTGACAAAAAGGAGGAGTAGCATTTTGAAAAAAAAATTCACAGAAATTCTATTTTTAGTAACCACGGCAACACCTTTTATCAAAATAAAAAACCGATAAACAGAATTATGTAGCTTAGTGTAGTCTACTTGTCTGCAAAGTTACTGTATACAGGGAAATTTTCGCCTCCGTTTTATTTTCGCCCTTTCGCCCTCTCCTTGATTGGGCGAATTTAAAACGGGGCGAATTCAAATTACACCTCGTAATTTCTTAAGCAGAACTATGACTGGTCGAATTTAAAACGGGGCAAAACTGTTCATAAGTTGAAAAGGGCGAAAATAACCCTGTATACAATATATTGAAATCAGACTAAAACTGTAGGGGAAGTAGCATTTTGAAACAATTTCAAAGAAATTTGTATTTTTAGTAACCACGGCAACACCGTTCATTGAAATTTAAAACGGATACACAGAATTATGTATCTTAGTGTGGCCTACTTGTGTGCCAAGTTATATTGAAATCAGACTAAAACTGTAGGTGGAGTAGCATTTTGAAAAATTGTTTACTGACAGACGGACGGACGCCAGACGCATTACTATCGCATAAACTCTTCTGGTTTCTTACCAGTAGAGCTCAAAAGTGCACAATGCCATTATATAATTTAAAAAATCTGTGCAAATATCATTAAATTTTATTCAGTTGTATTAGAGGAGTTGCGGATAAGTTGCATTGGTACCTTTCAATATTAGAGAAAGAATGGCTGTGTCCGTGTTTTGCTCTGGAAAACCCAAAATATGTATCCTTTTAAAAAGTGATATAAAAGGTGCACAATTAATGACACTATGTAACAAAGATTCTGTAAAAGTTTCATTAAAATTCTTTCAGCGGTAAGTAGTTGCGGATAAGAGATGGGTACTTTTCAATATTAGAGAAAGAATGGCCATGTCCATGTTTTGCTAAAGGAAACCCAAAATATGTATCCTTTCAAAAAGTGAAATAAGAGGTGCACAATGACACTATGTATCAAAGATTCAGTAAAAGTCTCATTAAACTTCATTCGGTGGTACGGAGTTGCTGATACCCCAGATGGGTACCCATCTTTTTAAGCGGGGGGTATAAATATACTGATATTTGGAAGTCTCGGTTTTGATATTTTCCTTATTTGTTCAATTGTAGATGTGAGTATCAAATAAGTTCACCTGGAATGCCGCCTCCAGGAAATGGAGTTGTCCAAATTCCAATCAAGGTAAATGATGACTGTATAGAGCGTTCTAGGCTGGTGTATGCCTTAGCAAGAATTCTTGGATTACCTGACGAACACACCCGAGGCAACAGAGACAACTACATCGACATACACTGGAATAATATTGAGAGTATGTGCTATATTAAGTATGGTTTTGATTATCTAAGACTTCATTAATATTAGTTGCAATATAAAGTTTTTGTATGAAATGAATTAAAATATAAAAACAAGGCGACCATGATTCCAATCTTAGATATAGAAATTCTTGTACAAAAATATCATTTCATAAGTTGCATGATGGCAACATAAATGAATTTGCAGAATTAATTGTAGGAGAAACCATTCGTGCGAAGAAATATAACATATCATCACCAATGTACTGGGCTGAAATTGAAAGTATGCCGTATGATTATACATCAGTTACTCACATTGGTCCATTCGAACACGCTCTTGATATAAGGAAACCGACACTATCATCTAAATATGAAGGAGTGTATTTTGGAAATCATCAGAATCTCAGTGTAATTGATGTTATGAAACTTAGGAATCTATACAAATGTCCATTAGGTACACGTTTTGTTTTCTTTTAAAATAAATATGAACAAATCACAATATAAAACCATATTCTGGATCTTTTATAATTAGTCACTATTCATTTAATTTTGATAATTGAATAAAAAAATATATTTTTTTAGATGGAGAGAAACATGATGGAGCAGTGGGTGAGTCAATTAAAGTTTTAATTAGAACATGTTTGCTAAGCGTATCAGTATAAGACAGGAAACAGGCGTATGATCATTTACACAATTTTATAAAACGTTTAAATGGTTATGTTATTTTTTTCTGAATTTCTAACATTAAACACCCATAATACAGAATAACATTGTTCAAGAGCCAATAAAATCATTGTAATTGTATTAAGAATCGATGAATTTCTTCAAGGTTTTCACCCTATACATTGTACGTTTGACCTTCCTCTTTGTGGGATGGTGAACGACTGGACATTATCTGGGATCCAATGGACAAAAAGAAAAGGTCCAGCATCAGAAGAAGGACCACAGACTGACCATTCAAATGGAAATGGTTTGTTATTATCCTCTCAATCCTATAAATGTGGAAATAAAAAAAATAATATCCTTTAAAAATATCCCAGTCTGGTAATACTTTATTTTCATAAAATTGTAAAAACAGTAATGGACATTTCATAGATATACATATAAATTATATAATAGTTTTGTGTCTTGCATGCCATACTGAGTATGTCTAAAAATAGTGAAGGCTTGACATATTGAGACGAGCATAACTATAGTTCATATGATGCATTATTGATTGAAAAGCTCTCGTTGTAATAATAAAGTTCAGTAATGTTCGATAAAAGTTTCTGAAATGACCGAATGAATGTATAAATAATCATTAAATGTGCGATTTCTGTGCATGTATCTACTTCATCATTTGTATGTAGGGTGGTATATGTTTGCCAATGGTACAGAAACTTTCAGCACTGCTAGTCTGGTCAGCATTACCGAGGTGTCCCCCGGAGACGTATGTTTCTCTATGTACTACTTTATAGAGGATAACTCAACTACTATCAGGATATCTATAAAGGAGTCAGCTAGTAACAACATTACCCAAAGTAGAGAAATTAAACATAAGGAAGGAATATCCTGGTCCGAAGCCAGGTTCAATTTAAAGTCAACCAAAACTTGGCGAGTGAGTATCTATTTCAATGTTATCTAAGCAATAATTCTTCAATATTGTTCCGATTAATTTGACTTACCTGACTTCATCTTTGGTGAGCAAAGATCAACAACCATATTGCGCCAGCGGAATTTTAGGCTATGTTTTTCAATTGAACCCAAGTAAAACCTGCCTCTTTTGCCTCCATTTCCACGGATACTTTAATAAATTTGCTGGGTACACATTTTTCCTTTATTTTCACAAATCATTACTCACTTTTGCAAATCAGAGGCTATTGTTAAATTTTCAAGCCTTGAACTATTGTTTATAAAGCATCATTTTGACTAAAAAGATACAACAAGAGTTGCAAAATTATAAAAGAAAATCTTGTTATTTGTCAAATGGCAAAATCCCGAAAGCAAGTAATCACGATTTCCAGTTCTGACACTCTTTTAAGTTTGAAAGGAGATGTAATTTCTACATTCATTTATTGAAATAAAATTGGAGGTTTTTTCTTTTCAGTTATTAATAGAAGCTGATGTTTCAAATGGTACAGTAGCAATTGATGACGTCATTGTGCAGTATGGAAAATGTATATCTTCAGAAAAATGCTAAAATGACAGGAGTGTTTTCTTTGAGTTGAAAAATTCAAAAAGTTCATTTTATATGTTTTCATAGCTATCAATAAACTAGTTAAAATATGCTTTTATGTATACTGTAAGCCAACTATTATTCGTGTCATCTTTTATTCGCGATTCGTCAATTTTCATGAAGAAGGAAACATTTTCTACAAAAACAAACAAAATAAATGATTCACCATGATTAATTATCGCGATTTAAAGTAGGTCGTGAAACTCGCGAATATTTCTCGCACACGAATAATACTTGGTTTACAGTTAACCTCATGAGGTGCATTTTTCCAGTATTAAAATGTTTAAAATGTTAAAAAAATAAGGAGAACAATCGTACACGAGAAGCATATTTACTTTAGCTTATTATTTAATATAGTTCACATCAATCTTTTACCTTTAATCATCATTAGTGTGTAAGCAAAGTCCGTAGGCCGTTAAGATAACATTTGCTTATAGTATTTTTTGAATGGGATAGCAGCATTATTTGTGCAGATTAAATGTATGAAATAAAATGAATCAAATTAATTCTAATCTTACTTCGTTTTGTTAAATCTGATCCATAGCATTTCCATTGTCTTTGCTTCTCATTCATTTTTCTAACATAATTCTGTTTCAGAGAATCGTTTTGGGGTTCTATACAGATATCATTTAGTTGTTATTTAGCTTAGGCTTTATCTTCTATAAATAGTGAAACATCCAAATATGAAACTGATGTGACAGAATTGTTTTTTTTTTCTAATTTAAAGGTAACCGAAATATATCGAGTAAACCACATGAGTTTGCGTACCTATCAATCTTACAGAAAATTTTAGTAAATTGAACAATACGTTATAATTAAAAGAAAATAGCGGGGTTACATACATAATTATAAAAGGTATTTTTATTTATTTACTAAAAATTTCGGTTAAATTGATAAGTAAGCGAGTTCCTGTGATATGTACGAGGGTTGTTCGTTAAAATCGTGGATAAAGCGTTTTTCTCGAAAAGTAATGGACGCTCTGAGCTGAAATTTTCAGTAAATGTTTATTTCTCATATTTAAGTGTATCATAATTTTTTGGTAATCTATTGACAAAAATAAAGATGTTATTAAGCTTGAATGTGCACAGGGTATGGTCCTACGTCGCAAGATCACAAAACCAAGGTTTTATTAGAGGATACATACCGTATATACTCGCCTATAAGTCGGTCCGCCTATAAGTCAGTTGTATTTAATGAGCTAATATATCAGAGGGACTGACCTCATATAATACCATTCATTTTATAGCTCGCCTATAAGTCGGACATAGAGTTTTGGACCAGAGATTAACTCCCAAAAATCCGACTTATAGGCGAGTATATACGGTAAGTATTAATTAAAAAAAACTAAATACATAGGATTAAGGTAAAAATTATCCTTATTCGATTCCACAATCTATTTTGTCGTATTTTTAAAATTTTCAGTGCATTTGGTTAATTTTTCCCGAGCATTCGAAATGGGAAATTTTTTAGTCATACAAATGAAGTGTGAGTTTTCTTAGCGAAGTCTTTTTTAATCGAGTCCCTGGGTAGTACAAAACATAAGGAAAACCAACTACATGTACGGTAATAGCGAAAAACGCTGTCACCGCCGACCGTCGATATAAGATTGTTTATTAATTGAATGATGGTGAGAATATTGTCCGCAAGTTACTAATAAATCTTCAGAAGATCGCATGTGGGTGCCAGGTTGAATCCTAAACTGTTTATGTAGACCCAAGTATGTGCATTAATGAAATTCCTTAATTCAAGTGGGATTTATCCGGCTTTATTATTAGCAAAAACACTTTGACGCTATCATCCGTTCTCCGCGATGCAATACACGACATAAAATCACATAATTTGTTTATTCATGAATACCCGTAAATCTGGAAATTTTTACGTCGATTTATTTTTGCGAATTTGGGTCAAAAAGCTGTTGATTAATTTTTACGCTTCAAATTTTTGCGAATTGTCACTGGTATTAAAAATAAAAATCACTGAAGATTTTCATATCAGGTTATGTTTCAAATAAAATGCCTAGTTAGAATACCACCAATATACTCGCAACGGGGCAAGATATGGCAAAATCGCTCCGAAACAATTTTGATAAAAATACAAAAGGATTTGCACGGAAAATAATTTCTTAATCAATTATAACAAACATTTTAGAGGTTGTGTATGCCTTTTAACCTGAAGTATAATCCAAATGAAGAAAAAATACTGGTATAACTAATTTTCTCAACGTTTGGTTTTTTCTCACCTAAAATTTACACGCCACGTTTACATATGGAACTTTCTCGTAAATGCACTGAGTTTGATTTCCGCCCGTGTTGATACACGGTTAGATAAAATGACAGTTCTCTCTTTATTGGCAAATAATTAATTGATGAAAATAATTAAAAACGGGCATACCGCCTCAGTGCTTGTCAAATCATCGGACGATATTGCATATAATGAGGGCAATTTACGCGCACGGGTAATTAACTTGTATAGTTATATAGTAGACTAGTGTAAACAGGTTTCTTTTAAAAATGACCAGTGCTTACCGACACTGAGTTAAAAAACGACACGAGTTCTCAGAAAAAAAATTCTTCACATGTTGATTTATTTTTAAGAAAAATATTTTTGCGAATGCAATGTACGCGCAAATTTGCTAAAAATTTATCTACAGCAAAAATTTCCAGATTTACTGTATACCTATTCGAAATATTTGCTATGTATATTCATAATATATGTACTAAAGAGTAGTAAAACTTTCAGAACGCAGTGATGATTATTTTTCACAATAGATAACTTGTCCACGATTTTACCGGACAACCCCCGTATGTATACATAAATTGTATAGCAGAAAAGATTTTTTCCAGAAAAAACAATGTAAAGTTGAGCCAAATAGTAAAAGTGCATTTCTTTAAACTCATTTTTAAAATGTATGTATACCAATTTTGAGAAACCTTACTAAATACACTTGTATATCGTTTTATATTCCTACCTCTTCGACATAATAGAAATAAATTGATTAATAAGATATAAGAGTACCTTACACTTTTCAGATTTCAATGTTATTTCACACAATTAGCAATGAGTAAATATATTTTTTATAATTCAGGTGTTATAAAGCTGTTTTTTGCAAGAATGGTTGTTCATATTTTAAAATTTAAAATGTTTGCTATTGAATTTGTTTATAAAAAAAATGTCTCGTACTAACTGTGTTTATATTCATCTGACAAACGTGATGAAAATATAATGATAAATCACATACATACATGTATCATTGGTTTTACGAAGGAAAAAATTACATCTGATTTCCACAGTGTCATGAACCACAGCTCGCCTCCTGCTTAAACTCACCTTTCCCCATACTCTGCAAAATACAAAATCCCTGATTGTCTTCATGGTTGATACATATAAGGCTGCTTAAAAAGAAAGATACGTTCTAACACTGATTCTTTTAACAATTTTATTATTATATCTTTTCCAGCAGACACGTATGGCAGAATGTTTTCTCCATTTGAATTTGGTTTAGATTTATTTTTACGATATTGAGGTAATGTTAAATCCGTTGATGCATTGTACACATGTATGTATATTAAATTTTTGTGATAATTTAATGTTTCAGACTCAGATTCATAACCTGTTGTGAAATACTTTACGTGTCGCAGCTTTAATTTCTTTTAGCAAGAAAGCAAAGATGAGATTTAAAAATGCGTTTTGTCTAGTTTTTTATCTAGAGTCATCTAGCTGTAAGATTTTTTTTAATTACAGAAAATTTAAAAAAGAGTTTTAAGCATGAAAATTTGACACAGTAAAAAAAATAATTTTATGGTCTCTAAAGTAAACAGATAAAGACAAGACTACCGTGAGATAATCATTAATAACTTAAAGAATTGAAAACAACGAACAGATCTTAGAAATATTACAAACTATACAAAATTGTTAACCGGACTTAAACACTGGCCCCTGGGAATTCAAAATGAGAGATAAGGTGCCTTTGAGGAGAAAACATCCACTGTCGACTATTCATGTCCGCCTTATCCGCTAGTGTTGTTCAGTTAGACTAGATCATCCGAGGCCTATTAAAAAACATGTATAAAAAAAATCATTTTAACAAGTATAGAAAATAGCGTTTAAAGAATTTTTGTATTTCTAAACAAGATCTTTTGAACGACAGTCGAGATCGAGAAATGCTGGCCATAATCGAGTTTGAGGAAATCCCTAAAAAAAAAACATCTTTCCTGAAGAAACCAGTCTCGGCTTAAAAAAATCATTGTTTTCAAAACAAGCAATTATGCATTGAATACTTTAGCAAGATACACCATAAACACTATGTAAGGTGATAGCGGTATACATGTATCGCTACAAAAATAAGGAAAGATGGCGAGGGAAAAACTAATTCATCTGATTTTTTTAATATACAATTTAGTTGTTTGTTGTCCATAGTTTGCTATAGTCAAGGAAGAATTAAAAATAATGAAAATTTAATCAATAAGTGACAGTCTATATTGATTTTTGTTAACGAGAATAAGAAAGGGACCTTTTTTAATTTGGATTATATTTTATATACAATTTTTTAACATTTGATAGCAAATTCCTTTATCTAATTTGTGTTTTTTTATAATTTTTTTCATCAACAACTAGATACTAGTATCAATTTTATCCAATCAGTCCTCTTTCCAAGATTTTTTTTTTGTCGAAGATATTCACATTAATCATTCCCATGATAATACAAAAGCAGAATATTGATCAAATAGGAGCAATTTTTCATTCAGAAGGTTTATAAATTTCTTCATCTCTGCTTACTTTAATTGATATATGGCCTGTAATATGAAATACGTGCTTTGTACAGAGTAGGAAAAAAAAATTTAAAACATTTCTTCCAAAAATTGCCGTAAAGTAGCGCCTTAAAGATAGTTGTTGTTAAATACTGCATATTGGGTATAACCTACAAAAAATATATATTTATCATGCACTAAATTAAACGCACAAGATACTGCAAATTTCAGTGATGGGATATTCCTGTAAAAAGAGGGATAAAAAAAGGATAGAAAGTTGAATTGAGGTTCATTTATGTTACCCGCATACAACGGATATAACTTGTCAACAGGGGATG